TTTATGAATATGATGCTTATTGCATGTGAGTGTTTATTTTTCCTATTTATCATATTTTATTTCTACATGATGTATGATATTTGTGTATTTATTTTTTTGAAAAACAAAATAAACTACCTATATGAATGATTTATGAGTGTAATGTTTATGAACAAGGTCCCATTTTTGTTTGAAATTGGGTTTTTATTTGATTTTATTTTGTTATTGTTTTTTTTTATAGCCTTTATCTCTTCTGTCAGACTGCGTGGCTACTTAGCTTACAAAGAACATGAAACCAGGCTAGCTAAAAGGCAGACTGTCCGAGATAAAAATGGCTTTATGCGAAAGAATAATGTTTAGCATCCCTTATCTCTTCTGTCGGACTGCGTGGCTACTTCGCTTACAAAGAACCTGAAACCAGGCTAGCTAAAAGGCAGATTGTCCGAGATAAGGGCGTTTATTGCGAAAAATGTTTTTTTTTTGTGATTTTTCTGTTGTTTGGTTATGTTATGCAACAAACAAATGCAACAAACAAATGCGCACACAATTCAATCATCTGCGAACAGGCGAGAAGTCGTTTTAATCACGAAGTAGGGTTTTCCTACAGAAAAGTGCTTTGGCGAAGGTAGGTTCTAACTGTTCTCACCAAGGCTAAGGCCCCCAAGGTGCCCCCATTATAGGGTCCCCACTCTCCAGCCTTCCGACCATGCTTAGCACTAAGGCCATAGTCAGTCTTTGTGCCAAAAGAGGAAGGTTATCACCTTGAGTGGTGGTTTCCGATCACACTGGTGGGATCAAGGCCATCACTACAGCGAACCATACCTGCCACCCACTCCCTATGGATTTCTCACTTGCCCCCGGGTATAGAGGGAACTGTTGTGTGCAAAGGTTTGTGTACAGTTTGTATTTCAAACAATTGCGTAAAAATAAACTAACAACAGTTATTAAAGCCAAGCATTAAAACATGTTATAATACAAGGTAGGGTAAAAGCGTAATTTCTTGGTTTATTTATTTAAGCTGACCCATCACTAAATGGGATCAACTCTCTAGGCTTCCCCAGCGGAGTCGCCATCTATCGCCGCCGTCAAAAAGAGGCGGTTAGAGCGATGCGATGGTTCCGACTTTTCCAATTTTTGTGTTTTTATTGGTGTGGTTACAACACTTTTTGGTTGTCCAATAACTGGGCTAAACCTAGAGGCAATGTTTTCGAAAAGGTGTTCTTGGATTGTCTGATAACCAGGCTAACTCAAGAACTAATTTAAAGGGGTTCTTATGGAGTCGCCACCGATGTTTTTACTGGAAACATCGAAAAAGGGGTAAAAAGGCGTTGGTTTTTCAAAAACCAACTTTGGTCGTTCAAACCAGAGTTAGGTAAGGGAGTTAGTTACGTGTAAGGGAAGTGTTAGTTCCCTTACGAAGCCCCTTTCGGGTTCCCTATGATAGACCAGCTATTTTATAGATAAACTTTTGAAAAGACGCTTTTCCCCTTTTATTTGCGGAATTAAAATAATGACTACATGGCCCTAATGTCTATTATACAATTTTAATCATAAAAGTAAAGATAGTAAAAGAGAGGGAGAGAGTGAAGAAACCTTCGAAGCAAGCTTTTGAATTAATTCTATGAAATATAGGGTGTGTTTTGGCAGCCCTTCGCTCTTTACAACACCGAAAACTCTCTCGAAACGCTATAAAAAGGCTCTTAAAACTCTCAGAAACTCTGGAAATGCTTCGGAGGGGTTCTAAGAAGAGAATTTGAAGAAGTTGTAGCAGGGAAAGTGGAAGATCTGTGTGAAATGAGGGGGGAAGCGGTCACTATTTATAGGGATTCGCACCTGTCAGGTCGAGACGGCTGTCTCGTCTGACAAGGTCGAGACGGCCGTCTCGTCTGACAAGGTCGAGACAGTCATCTCGCCATTCGGGACGACGGTCTCGACTTGTTAAAGTGGCGAGACTGCCATCTTGTTTCGCGAGACGGCGGTATCGACTTTCCCAGAAACGAGAAGGCCTTCTCGCCAAACGGGAGGGGGGTCTTGCCAATCACAAGTGGAGAGACAGCCGTCTCGCCAAACGAGACGGCGGTCTCGACTTGCTAGAATGGTGAGACGACGATCTCGAAAAGCGAGATGGCGGTCTCAATCCCTGAAGGCGAAAATCCTTATTTTAATGCAGAAAATCCTTCCTATCCTATTATGGGGCCTAATAGTCTCTCCTAGTGGCTTCTTAGGCTTCATCCATCTTCGAATAGGAGGTCTTCTGGTCTTTATTATGAGGTCGGGCAAGATTTGGGGTCTACACCTGATATTATGCATTCTGTTTGTGTGTGTGCTAGATTCCAAGCATGTCCAAAAGAATCTCATTCAACTGTAGTAAAAAGAATTTTAAAATATTTAAAAGGAACTACAGGAACTGGTTTATGGTATCCATCCAAAGCTTCTCCTAGTTTAATAGGATATTCTGATGCTGATTATGGTGGATGTAAGATTGATAGAAAGAGTACTAGTGGAACATGTCATATATTAGGATCATCTTTAGTATCTTGGCATTCTAAGAAACAAGCATGTGTTGCATTGTCCACAACTGAAGCTAAATATATTGCAGCTGGAAATTGTTGTGCACAAATCCTATGGATGAAGCAACAACTAGAAGATTATAATATTTTCCTAGATGATATTCCTTTGATGTGTGATAATACAAGTGCAATCAATCTTACTAAGAATCTAATAATGCACTCTAAAACTAAGCATATAGATATTAGACATCATTTCTTAAGAGATCATATTAGTAAAGGAAATTGTAAAATTGAATATGTTGATACAAAGCATCAATTAGCAGATATTTTTACTAAACCTCTTCCCAAAGATAGATTCTATGATCTTAGAAGAGACTTAGAAATATTAGAAATAGCCTAAATTCTGCTTAACTGATCAATCTTTGCATTTTGTATTATACTGTTTTATTCAATAAGAACTCTATGTTTATATTGCTTGTGGGGGAGTTGTTTATTTTCATTATGCATATGTTGAGGGAGAGCTTTTCATTTCTTTTTGATTATAATCAAAATAGGGGGAGAAATTATTTAAAGCCTCTTATGTTTAATAATTTTTAATGGTGCTGGTATGTTTAATATTTTTGTTAGCTGTGACAGATAAAATCAAGTTATTAAAATGGGCTTTAAAGCAAATTTTGATCATCATCAAAAAGGGGGAGATTGTTGATCATACAAGGATATGAAGCTTGAAGATTTTGATGATCATTCAAGAACAAAGGACTTAGAGATTTCAAGACTTGTAATCTTATGTAATAACTCTGTTTTTATGTTTTTGAGTCTGTAATATTAGAGTCCAAGATAGTCAGCACATAGACCACTCTTTAAAAGCTCTAAAAACTCATTTTTATGAAAAATACACTGGAATAATTGATTAACTGACAGGATAATCAATTATTATAACAAGAAAACTATTTTCTGTAATTGCTCTCTGGTTTAATCGATTAAATCACCAGATAATTGATTATCTGGAGCAGATAATCGATTAAATGGCCTGTTAATCGATTAACTGGTGTTGTTTTGCTCCTCTGCGAGAATTGCTCTGGAATAATCGATTAACACTCAAGATAATCAATTATTTATGTCTTTTGTGTGTTTTGAAATTCAAAATTGGACCAATTTACGAAAATCCTATTCCCAATTCATCTATTTTCGAAAAACATAATTCCCCAAACCCTATTCTCTCTACTTAAGGTTCTCTAAGAACTTCTATAGGGAAGATAAAGGGGCTTTTGAAAACCTAGTGTGGGCTAGAAGCGATAAGAATCACTGAGTGGGTTTTTTGGTGGATTGTGTATTGTGTCGTCTCTAGGAAAAGTTGTTCTTCATCCTTTGTGGATTCAAAGGAGGTGTTCATCTCTTGTGTGACTCAAGAGAGGTGTTTTCTTTACCTTATCTTTTCATTTGTAATCTGTTTGTAAAACTGTGATTATAGTGACAACGTTAATCCTCTGTTTGAGTGATTAGCAACTGGACGTTGTGTCTTTTGATCTGAACCAGTATAAATCGACTGTGTAATCTTCTATCCCTTCTCTATTTACTTTACGCAGCATTTTAATTGGTGAAATTTGGGAAAAAATTTAAAATCCTAATTTTTGCTTAAGAAACCAATTCACCCCCCCCCCTCTTGGTTTTTGTCCGTAAACGCAAACATTCTGTTGCGTGATTCTAACATACAGTACATTAAGGCCAAATCCCCTTCATTTAAAAGAGCATGATTGCTCCCCCTGGGTGTTTACTATCAGGCAATGATGAAGGCAAGAAGTCTTGGTTTCAACCTCATTTTTCCAGCATTGAGAGCCCTCACATAATCATTTCTATCTTTGAGGCAAGATCGGAAGAACTGAATTTTGTTTAAGTCTTCAATTTTTGAGACATTTCCTTTGGATACCTTCTCACCTTCATCTTTCAAACAACAACTTATTTCCTGATGGCAGGAGTGACCACAATGTTTACTCCTTTGACCTGAGAGTGAATGGTCGAGCCATCTACTAATAGATTTGTATAGAAGACCCTTACCAGATCTTGTTGAATCAACCCGTGAAGCTCCAAAATGGTTTTCAATTTCTGGTGTTGCAGCTATCAATGCAGGTCAGAGAAGTCTTCTTTATCCATCCAATTAAACTATAAATACTTTGGCATGATTAGATGTTTACTGCTAAAATCAGCAAATGCACTGATTCATCTTATCTAGGTTACCATTGAACCATGTTTTTAGGTGACGACCAATATTACCTTCAGCAGCTTGGGAGGATGATTCTCCCTTGCTCTTCTTTCTGCCAGATTTTGATCTTTTGAACATGTTTGAGAGTACTGTAATGAGACATGTAAAGGTAGTAGAGTAAGAAATATTGGAGTTCTGCACAAGCGGGTGAGTGGTGATTTCTGAGTTCAAGCTTCTTCACTTATTTAATGGACGTTAAATCAAAATGATGAATCAATGTCGACTATAACCCTTAGTCTTCCAAGCTAACGATGCGGGTTCGATTCCTGCTACCCGCTTATATTCTCTATTTATTCCTATTTAAATCTATCTTTTTTCTTCTAGAATGAATCTATAATTATTAATGAATTTGTCCATTATTCATTTTCATTTATTAATTAAGTTTTAGTTATATATATATATATATATATATATATATATATATTCAATTGATTTTTCTTTTTTATTTTGTTTCACAAATAACTACTATTCTAGAAACATCATGGCATGGGATTATTTGGACGACAAGACCCAATCAGATTATAGAGCAAGATTTGACAAGTACTAGTCAACAAATTGGAATTCATTTATTAACAGATTTTTTTCTTCCATTTGAACTAATTTCAATAATTCTTTTAGTTGCTTTAATAGGTGCAATTTTTGTGGCTCGCCAATAAGAAATTTTGAGAACTAATAATATAAATCACAATTTGTTAGCTTTTATCACATTTATTTTTTTGTTGAATTCTAGATAGTAACTATTTATACCGGAACGAATGGTTATCTTGATTCATTAGAAATTGGACAGGTAAGGAAATTTCTTGTTGAGTTACGTGCTTACTTAAAGACGAATAAACCTCAATTCAAAGAAATCATATCTTCTACCAAGACATTCACTGGGGAAGCAGAAGCCCTTTTAAAGGACGCTATTAAGGAACATAAGGAACTCTTTTTACTCCAGGAACAAGTAGAAAAAAATTGATTAATCATTAAATAATTTTGTAATTTCATTTTCAAATTTTTATAAATGGTATCTTTTAATATCTTTTTATTTCATTTGAATTATATATAATATAATGAATTTGAATAAAAATGGAATGAATTAATAAAAGGACAAGGTATAAATTGCATATAGATATGCAAACAACTTGCGTCCAATAGGATTTGAACCAAACGAGACTTGTAAAGGTAGTAGAGTAAGAAATATTGGAGTTCTGCACAAGCGAGTGAGTGTTGATATCTGAGTTCAAGCTTCTTCACTTATTTAATGGATGATTAGAGTTGGTTAGTTGTGTACTAAATGAGTTAGCACAAAGCACGTGAACTAGTCAAAAATCACATTTCAAGACTTTTGCAATTGCTTTTGCTTTTGAATTTGCAGTGGTTTCGTTGACCAACAACAATATTACTGTTATTGTGTAGTGGGTAGCAACTACCTTTATTATATCAACTAAAATATTCTCGAAGATGAGGGTTGACTAGGTCAAAGTCATTTGTCTTATTCACAATCCAATCACAATTCTCCATTTCGATTTTTCCCTTGTCTTGATTTTAACCCTGAAACAGATGTATTTAATACATGCAATTTGATCATTTGAATGTTTCCAAGAACAATCTAATCTATTATTTTACCAGATAATCAATTAAAATTATAATGGATATGGAATAATAATAATACATGCAAAATATTAATTTGTTAAAATGACAAATAATCGATTAAATTCCCTTAATAATATGTAACTCAAGTGAAATTAACTCGATACAATTTGCTTTTTAATCGATTAATTCGAGAGACTCGTAATTCAAAACATAATCCAAAGAGCTTTTATTCGTTAATTCAAAGAATACTTTATTAAAACAACAAGAACCATTCTGTAAAGAATGATTTTAAGTGATTTTAACCGATTATTTTAAGTAACTAATCGATTAAAAATCAATAATTTTCAAAACAAGTTTATATTCCAAGATTTTAATCGATTAAAAGACAATTATATCAATTAATTCTACCACCAATTATGAGTTCATGTAATTTTCAATAAATCTAAAATACCTAATTCAGTTCTAATCATGTAAAGACGATCATGAGCTAAGAGTTTTGTGAAAATGTTAGCTAATTGCTTATTAGTTTCAATGAAAAATATTTGACAATCACCTTTAAGAAACATGATCTCTTATGAAGTGATGTCTTATTTCAATGTGATTAGTTCTTGAATGTTGGATAGAATTTTTAGTTAAGTTTATTGCACTTGTATTATAACAAAGTAAAGAAATTTTATGAAGAGTCAAACCATAATCCTTTAATTGTTGTTTCAACCATAGAGATTAAGCACAACAACTTCCAACAGTAATGTATTTTGCTTCAATAGTTGATAAAGTCACAAAAACTTGCTTCTTGTTATGCCATCCATGAGATCAAGCTATTGTCTAACAAGTGACAAGTTCTACTGGTGCTCTTCCTGTCCAATTTGCATCTTGCAAAATCTGAGTTGGAATATTCGATTAAGTTCAATGACTCACCAGGATACCACAAATTAACATTCACAGTTCCCTTTAAGTATTTTAATATTCATTTGGCAGTTGTGAAATGAGACTCCTTCAATGCTGATTGAAATCTGGCACATATGCAAACATTGAACTTTATGTTAGGTCTTCTAGTCGTAAGATACAGTAGTGAACTAATGAGCCCTTTATACTTGGTTTGATCGGCAAATTTCCCTTTCTCATCATCATCTAAATAGAAATTTGTGGACATAAGAGTATATGCTTCTTTGTAGCTTTCCATGTCAAACTTTTTGAATAATTCTGCACAATATTTTGATTGATGTAAAAAGCTTCCCCCTTTTAGTTGTTTGACTTGCAATCCTAAGAAGTAATTGAGTTCTCCCATCATTGACATCTCAAACTCCCCCTACATTTCTTTCACAAAATTCTTACACATAATATCATTAGTAGCCCCAAAGATGATGTCATCAACATAAACTTATACCAAAATTATATCAATTTTTAATTTCATAAGGAATAGTATTTTGTCAACTTCACCTCCTTAATAGTTTTTCGAAATGAGAAAATTGCTTAATCTCTCATATCATTGCCTTGGTGCTTGTTTTAAACCATATAAGGCCTTTTTGAGTTTGAACACATGTTCTAGACATTGTGATCCTCAAATTCAAGTAGTTGAGAGACATACACTTCCTCATTTGAATAACCATTCAAGAAGACAGTCTTGACATCCATATGATATAATTTGAAATTCTTCATAGAAGCATAAGCAAGTAGCAGTCTAACAACTTCTTCTAATCTAGCAACCAGTGCATATGTTTCATCAAAATCTATTCCTTCTTATTGATTATATCCTTTCGCTACCAACCTAGCTTTATTTCAGGTGATAATATCATGTTCATCCAATTTATTTCTAACAACCCATTTTGTTTCGACAATGTTAGCATCAATTGGTTTAGGAACTAATTCCTATACATTATTTCTAATGAATTGATTTAATTCCTCATGCATTGCATTTATCCAATCATTATCACTTAGAGATTCAGTTGACGTTTTAGGTTCAATTTAGGAAACAAAAGTCATATGATTGCAGAATTGATTTAAAGAATGTCTAGTGGAAAATCCCTAATTGATTTGACCAATGATGTTGTCAATTGAGAGATTTGTTTGAGTCTTCCATTTCTTAGGCAATTTTTCTTCTGGTCTTTCTTCATATTCTTTTGTATTCTCAAGTATTCTTTGAATATAAGCTGATTCTGGCAGTTTTAACTGATAAAACTTATCAATTAATATTTCTTCATCTACATCACTTATTGTGTTTTTCTGTACATCTGAACAGGATTAATAAAACATGCACAAATTCTTCAACAATTTTAAGCCTTTTGTTATAGATTCTATATGCATGACTGTTTGTAGAATAACCCAAGAAAATCTCTTTATCCGATTTTGAGTCAAACTTTCCCAGATTTTCTTTGTCATTGTTTAAAACAAAAACCTTTCACCCAAATTATAATAGTTTATATATGGCTTTTTGCCCTTGTACAGTTCATAGGGAGTCTTTTTTAAAAATGGTCTAATTACAACTCGATTTAACACATGGCATGTTATGCTAATTACAATGGCCCAAAAATACTTTGGTAAAACTTTTTCATTTAAAATGGTCCTAGCAAACTCCTCAAGAGACCTGTTTTTCCTTTCAACAACATCATTATGTTGAGGAATTCTAGGTGCAAAAAAGTTATCTTTGATGCCATAATTTTTACAAAACCTTTCAAATTTTTCATTTGAAAATTCTCCCTCATGATCACTTTGAATGCAAGAAATGAAATACCCTTTTTCATTTGAATTTGTTTGGCAAGTATTTTGAAAATAGAAAAAGTATCATATTTCATTTTTAAAAATAATGTCCAGGCGAATCTTGAAAAGTCATCTACAATAATCCATGCATATAGATTTCGACCCAAACTCACAGTTCTTGAAGGTTCAAAGAGATCCATGTGCAAAAGTTCAAGTGGTCTAGAAGTAGAAATAATATTTTCTATGAAAAATAATTTTTAGTTTGTTTACCTTTTTTACATGCATAAAAAACTTTGTCCTTCATGAATTTGAGTTTAGGCAGACCAGTTACAAACTCTTTGGCAATTAATCGATGATGCATATGAATCTTAGTTAACCTTCTATGCCAAAGCCAAATATCATTTTCTCTAGCAATAGCACAACATCTGCAAAGTTTATGTCCAACATATAGATGTTATGTACCCTCTTACCTATGACCATTACCTGATTTGAACCTAGTTTATATATCAAACAATGTTTGGGTTCAAAGGTGACTTTGTGAATTTTATCACAAAGCTGACTAATGTTGATCAAGTTGTGCTTCAGCCCATCAACAGGAAGTACATTGTGAATGACTCCAGATTCAGCACACTTGATGTCACCTAATCTAAGAATTTTGCATTTATTGTTGTCACCATATATGACAGTTCCACCAGGTTTTAGCTTCAAGTTATGAAACTTAGAAATATCTCTTATCATATGTCTTGAACAGGCACTTCCCAGGTACCAAAGATTTTCTACCAGTTGTACCTAAAAAATCAATCAAATTTGTTTTGGTACCCTTTGAAAATGATAAGGCCCATTAAGGTTATTTAATTTGTAAAGTGAGTTTGGGAACCCATTTCATTTTTTCAATAGGAACTGTATACTTCCTAATATTGTAGAATTTAATTATGTGACCCTTTTTCATGCAATAGAAACATGTAGTGAAAGGTGTAGAAGTTGGTTTTCTAAATGAGAATTAGTTTTTAAAAACCTTAATTTTCTTATGAACAATGGGAGTGTAGCCAATGCCAGCACGATCAAGCACACATTTTTGTGACCAGATTAGTCTTACCTTGTGAGAACTTTGAAACAGTCTTGATCAAGTAGGCTATCTTCTTTTGTAATTTTGAACCATTTTCACAAGATTTTTCTAAAATAGTTTTGCTACATGTGCACCCAGAATTATTGTAAATTATTTCAAGATTTTTAAAATCATTTTTCACTTCAAGAAGTTCATTTTCAAGAGTCTTTACTTTATTTTCCAACCAATTGTTCATTCCTTTTAATATGTTATTGACTCTAGCAAGTTTTTTTGCCTCTTCATGCATTTCTTTAAAGGATTCTAAGAGAGAAATGTAAATCAAATAATTGTTGGAAGAAGTAGAACTTACACTACTGGTGAAAGACTCTTGTCCAGCCACCAAACACAGATTGACTTCTTCTTCTTCCTCTGAGTTTTCAGTTGAAGATGTGTTATTATCATCTGATATGAGTCTCAATAGCACATGGGATGATTTAGGATTTTTAGGATTAGAACCTTGTAGAAAATTTAGGAATTTAGTGATAAGGTGGAAAGAAAAAATCACTCTTCCTAAGGGAGGTAACTCACAAAGGATGTGAAAGTCCTTTGATACAGCCAAGTGTTCT